TGTGACAGGGTCTTTTGTAAGTGGCAAAAACTTCCTATGAAGACTTAAAATGTTTGTGCATTCCACTCAGGAATGGAACATTTTTCAAAAGTCCATTATCAAAACTAGGGATGCACCGATACCGTTTTTTCGGTATCGAGTACTGATACCGGTGCTTCCGCCGGCTCCATGTTGTTTGGCTAACACAATTGTGATTGGCCAGGAAACCGGTCTCCCAGCCAATCAGCATGGAGCTGCCTTCCCGGCCAATCAGGAAGCTGGGAGGCGGGTCATTACTTGCCACCTGGCTTCCTGATTGCCCAGGATGCCGGCTCCGTGTTCCACTATGGCACTGCCAGTCAGAGGACATCTTCCTCTGACCGGAAGTTTCGGGATCGGGAAAGGTATCAGAGCATTTGGGTGAGTAGGAGTACTTGTCCAAATACTCAGTAGCGGCACTGATACCGATACTAGTATTGGTAGCGGTGCATCCCTAATAAAAACATCAACAAAATTCAGTTATGTAAAAAAGTAAGCACACCGCATGGAAATGCACTTTTTAGAATATTTGAACAAGCACTCATTAGATCTTCATTCAAACAGTAGACACTGAAGCCATTGGTTTCTATGTGGACTTGTTTGTTTATTTCATTAGCACTCTTTCAGCACTTCTTAGTGCCTATTGAATTTGGTTTAAAGGGGTCGGAATTATTGCTAAACATGACCCCCCATTTTAAAAAAAACTTATTTATGCAAAAAACGTATTTAGGCCTGCCCAGCTAATATAAAGTTGTTTGTATTTAGGTAAAATGTATGTGAGGAAATTACCAAAGGCTTTTGCATCTGGAGCTGTTGGATCTTTTCAATTTTTAGGAAGATTTTATTTCTGGAATTAAAGTAGCCGTTTTAGCTAGTTGAGGTGTTTACCCATTATCTAACTTCATGTGATAGAGCAAGGAGGTAGAATTCCAGAGAAGGATGACTTGCATGAATTGCCTCACAGTATGTATGTAAATATATTTAGTTTTTTTTCTTACATACTGTTGGTTTATCATGTACCTACCATCTTTATTGTAAAGTCCTAAATAGCTATACGATTGGTCTTTTATGGTGACGTTGGTCATACTGCTTGTTGTCTTTTGACTGATTATATTGCACAAATTTAGATCATCCTAAATTGTAATTCACCTAATTCTCTTGGCTCAGAAATAACATTGCTGCTGTAGGTGTTCAATAATAATGGATCATAAGTGTATGTTCCAGCCTCCTGTATTCATCACATTTTTGCTTTGTATTTTATTATGTGCTAAGCTGTCCAGTTTTGATTGTCTTCCTCTTGTCAACCACAAGTGAGCTGGTAGAATGCAGATACTATTCGGGATATAGTAGCTGCATATTAGAGGGTGTATTTAGAAATATGTAATTCAGAGAGAAGTGATATGTTGTTTCCCATAACAACTAAATTGTAGCTTTCAGCTGTTGGTTAAAAGAAGATTGTGCTAACAGACCTTTATACTCAAAATTCAAATTCTACCAATGCATTCCTTTATGTATGATGATTAATAATAACATAGACATGTCGGGGGTAAAATGCGGTACTTTTGAAATACTTCCACTTACAGAGCATTCACTTCCTGCTTTGAAAGGGCAAAATTACTTCATTTTGCCAAAGCAACGCACACTGGGATTGCCTTGTCATCAGAAGAGCATTGCTGGAAAATCTCATCTGTAGTCTCATGAGATCTCAGGGAAAGGCATTTTGCTCTCCTGAGAGTATGTCCATGGTCACATGTCTAGTCACATGCACCAGAAGTCCAGGAAGTGAAAGGAGAGCTAGTAATCTGCCCTTATTAAACATGGCCACTGTCAGAAGACTGGGAAAGAAAAGAGAAACAAGGTATGCAAAGAATACAAAGTCGGCAATTATCTAGAAGTATGTGTTTGTAGATTGCCATTACTAAACATGTCTAAAGGTGTGTTTGTTGTTATTTTAAAGATATGGGTAAAGTTCCACTTTAAACAACCATATTGTTAAAAGGATGTCACTCTCTGTCTATTGATCGAAGTTTGCTGCTGTGTTTCTTGATAACTGTTTTAGTTTATTTTAGCTCAGATAAAACAGAACAGAAGAGGGCTGCATCTGTTTTGTAAACTAATTGAATTTATCCAGCAATGTTAAATGAATTTGGAAAACACAAAGTTCCTTGTCCAAATAAAGATGCACGCGTGACCAAAAAATGGTTTCATATTCAACAGTCAGCTTTACTTCAAACATGAAATGATTTCTGTTTGGTTGCTATGACTTGCATTACACATTTTGCCTTTCCCGCATCAGTGCATCTTTTATTGTGTAGTGAACATAATGCTGTACGACAGGAGGACAGGGAAGACATAACAAACATTAGGTTTTTTCCGTTATTAAACATTTTAGTGTATTTTCTATGGGATATGTTTATCGTGTGCCTCTGTTGGGGTATTGCTAAACTAACATAAGTGCTAGAGACTACGCAGAATAACATAACACTCCTTACCCTACTTGTTCAGTAAGCCTTCTTATAGCATTGGTTGAGCCAACTAAAGTTGCTTTTACCTTCTTTCAGCATTTACATTGGCTCAGGCACTCCCTCACATGATTGCTCTTAAGGCATTTGTTAACATTGTAACATGTATTTGCTCTGGTAAGAGTTCTGGAAAGTAGCACCTTACTTTAAGGCTATATTCACACCTGCTCAAAAGGTGCATTTTAGAAATTCCTGCATCAGGAACCTATGAATTCCTGCGACAGGCATCCCAAATATGCCGTTGAGAAACGGCAGCTGTCCCCTGTTCAAGTTAACAATCGGGTAACAGCGGCAGCATTTGAAAGCAGCAGTCTGCTAGCACTCCGCATGTAATCATTTGTGATACAATTACATGTGGTTAGGAATAAATCACTATCTCAGGATGCACAATCTTCCTAATCGCATGTAATTATATCACATACGATTAGATGTGGAATGCCAGCGCACTGCTGGCTGTATGTGTGACTGAAGCCCAAATGCTAGTTATTATTTGCCAAGGCACGCTGGAGGTCTTCAGTTGCCATTGTGGTGGGCTCTGCTTCTGGTGTGTCCCTGCAACTTTAAAGCGTATAGGCTGCCTCCAGGCAAACCTGACTTTAATCAATTTATTGCCGTGTATATCCCAGGATGGCAGCTCTGTTAGTTTAGAGTTAGGGGCCACACTTCACAGAGGGGACTTGATGAGGCAGTGTGGTTTACATGTATGTATGCAACCAAAACATTTTTTATTTTTTTTTACACAAAGTGTTGAAGCTATTTTTTTTTATTTTTTTAATGCAGGCTTTTATTGCAGTCTGTGTCCCCATTGAGAACAATTCCCCTAACTTCGTATCCTACTAATATAAAAGAGGAAATCTCCCCAAATTGAGGGGGTATCCCACATTTGACCGTTATCACCAGGAAAGGTGTCCCTATTGGCAGATTTCCCCTCTACACTTGTTCTACTGACCACTTTAGATGTTTAGATAACCCCCTACTAATTTTGTTCAGGACAATGATTATGTATAATAATATTATTATTATTAATAATAATGACCTGGTTTGATAATGCTGACATACCCTGTCATATGTGACTTTTTTGAAGTGTAAATTTTAATAAGTTCAATTGGGCTATTTTATGAGTCAGTCCATCCAAAAAGCATATTTTAGTTTACAGGTGGAGCCCTATGTCACCTTATGTCTGACTGCAAGATCACCCTGCCATAATCTTTCAATAGTTTTCGATATTCCAACCTAACTTTGCATGTTCTTGCTACTCCTAGAACTTAGTCTCAGATATTGTACCTTGCAAACAGAGCGTCCAAGAGGTGTGAGAAATTGTCAGGTTGTTTAAATAGAAACCTATATAATTTTTTTTTTCAAATTAAACATTTAATACATTCCAAAGGATTCCCTGAGCATTATGGGTTAGCTGAAGAGGGCACACAGAGTCATGCCTTTCATGCTGCTCCTCTGTGAATAAAATCTCAGACAGAGCAATCCTGTAAATCGTTTATTTCTCATAAGCTCTCATAAGAACCTTCTTTTTCTTATTTGTGCATTTATACAACACTGGTAAGGAGAAAGTAGAAAGTATATGAAAAGGAGTTGAGACCTTCACCTGCTGGCTGGATAAAAGGGTACATACATTAATTTTCAATATTTCATATTAAGTTGGCAAGTTTGTGAATGTGATGGGTTCTTCCTTATCGCCAGCATTAGGTTGTCCTTACTGCAGCACAGAATGTTGCTGATGTAATGTGAACGATATACAGTACTGACAGTACATGAAGCACTCCCAGGGGACAGCCTGGGCTCATATGAAGTGGGTTGAATGACGCAGGCTGTCATTCACCTGGAAGAGGCACTCCCTCTAGTCATTGAGGGATGTTTTTGAGGGGGCCAATGCAGAAGGCCCCAAAGAAGTGGAGTATTGCAGCCAATGCTACCTTCGTTTTAACTTTTACTGGGCTTATGTTTCACTAGAGTTCTGCTTTACCTCTCCAGCATCTTCCAAAAATGTCAGAACCCTTGAAAAAACCTTAAATATATTTGTTTGGCATAGCTAAACCAACCAGCTCATTTGTTTTTATTTCATCTTGTTGCTATGTGTACAGCTTACACAATATTGTCTGTTTGCTATCTCTAGAAGCCATACAGATATGGGATCTTTCTAGTTGGCAGAGAGCTTTATAATTGGCACTATAGCTGCTAACATCCTCCCTGCCAACTTTTGAGAGCCGCTAGATTTTCATGAGTCTTGCACTAATGAAGCCATCATACACACTGTACATAACATCAGATGAAGGCGATAATGCGAATAATGTCATTGTGTAATTCCCTTTCAGATCCTGTAACTGTGGAAAGTTAATTAGAGGTTCTGTAGCACAGACAGCTACAAAACACTACTTGTAAAGTGATGGGGTGGGAGGAGGTTACACTATGCAAGAGGCTCAAGAGATTTGCTTATGTTTCTCATAGGCTTCACCAACAATTAAAAGAGTCCCTGGAGAAGCAGCTGGAATCTCTCCCTACTGATGCTGCCCTGGCTAGTGAGGCATTTACAGAACAAGAATTGATTAAAAACCTCCAGGACCAACTGCAACTTGCAAATCAAGTAAGCTCGAAACCTTTTGCATTATTTCCAAACCCCCTTCCACATTAATTGAATTCACGGCCCTGATGCTATCGCACTTATGAGTAGTTTCCTTTTTTTCGCAAAGCCAAATCAGGATGAGCTAAAAGAAAAATAAAATAAAATAAAAAAACCCAAAGAAATAAAGCTACTTTATGACTTTGGTAAGAGCTATTTTAGCTCTGCTGGCACAGCTTTCTTAAACCACACAGATGTACACTAACTCACGAAACATCTGTGACCTATTAAATTAGCTCTTCATATATGGTGTTAGAATAGAAATTCTATCTGGAGTACACAAGGTACAGCAATATACTGCTCAGTCCTTCAACCTCTGACAAAGCTTTCCGGGAATATAATTGAAGCAACAGTGCCCCCTGCCGGCAGCTAATATCTTAGCAGGTAGCTTGCATCGTAGTGGTTTTAGGAAATCACTGCGACGTTTTCTCGTTTGTTCCTTTTTTTTTTTTTTATGGGTGACAACATAGTATTTTTAAAGTGGGCAGAGCAGAAGAATATCTAGAGGCCTGGTTATGGATGCTTTGTGTGCTAGTGTTTTATGAAGGATGCTGTAAACTTGACACATTGTTTATAAGCAAACGAAAACTTTAATCTGTGGTTTTCTTCTTTAGGAAAAGGAGAATGCCTTAGAGCTGTGGCAGATGGTTTCACAAGAAATGGATCGCCTGCAGCAGCTGTACCAGGAACACATGACTAATGCCCGCATACACGTGGCAGAGAGAGAGAAGCAAAAGGTATCCAAGAAGAAAATACTCCAACTAAACAAAACTTTAAAGTGCTCAGTGTATTTTAATATTACCTTTCTATCCCTCAGCAATACACATTTATAAAGTGTACAAACACATCTAGATTATGCTTCAGTATCTATCTACACTGGTAATAATAATAGGGAATCCTACAGATCCACCTTTTATAGCGTGCTTTGCTCTAAAGGTTACCTCATACAGAATTACCTTGATTTATGACCTCATAAGAATAGGCAGTGCTTTAATAGATTTTCTTCATTCCATAAGCAGTAACTGCTTTCTCTGCCAGAGAAAATTGCAACTAACAAATTAGTGTTCCAGGTATTATTGAATCAGGTAGGGGAACTGTGTATTGTGTGATTTATGTTACAGTGGCAGTATACACATTCAAGAAGAGGGTTTGTTCAATAGAACATTACAGAAGCTGTTCATTAAATCAATTTTCCAGACCAGATTAGTATTCTTAAAACAAACATAAGTTTTCATAGGTAAACAGTCAATTTGAAGTTGTACATTTCCTGAACAACTGTTGTATCCTTTCCTCATGGTGGTTACATAAAGTTAGCACAATTGGGGCTTATTTATAAAACATTACTAAGCACTATGTAGGCTCAGTTCAATGCTTTAATACAAGGATAAGTATCACAAGTTGGGGACCAGGGCACTGAGGCACATGAGCTCCGGGTCTTGTGGAGCAGTATATGGTGACCGAATTAGAAATGTGCAGGTATACAGGTCTCTGAGCAGGGACAGTGTGACTGCACAACAAATGCAGGTGTGCCAGAGTCACAGGATCTAAGGAGCCACCTGGTCTTTCTCCAGAGCCACTGATGGTGTGGTTTTTGAGCTGCGGGGCAGCTCCCAGTTTGCGGCTCTCTGACACACCCATGCAGGCACAGTGCCAGCGGGTACTCAGGGTCTACAGCACGCTGGACAAGACACAGGGTGCATATAGGATACACGGTACAGAAAACAGGCACTAGAGGGAAGACGCAGGGAACATGCGTGACCCAGGAAGCAGAAACAGAAGGGAACACACAACAGGTGTACCCACAGGGAACAGAGATACACAGGAACAGCAGAGGGGAATGCACCTGAGAAAGGAGGTAGGTGCACTATAGTGCAGAGCGAAATTACCACAAGGAGCAGGAGGTAAACCACAACATGGCTATCTGGGATACACTGGAGCGAGGCTGCATGGAAACAAGCAGCCACACAGGAGGAAGACAGACTATCAGGTAAGTGCAGGTTCAAGCGCTCACTGAGGATGGGCTAACCATCTGCTAGCAGGATAAGCAGAAGCTCACTGGGTGCACAAGGAATCAAGGCTCCCACTGGAAACATATATAGCAGGGAAAAAGCACACAAGGGATGGTGCAAGTACAGGCAAGGATACTGAGTGTACACAACACGGAACTCCAGGTGATATGCACTGGGGAAGGTACAGGAAGACACAAATAGGAATACACTGAAAGCTGTGCAATGCCACGGAAGTACCAGACGCCGTGTACAAGGATAGCGCCAGGGGAAACTGTTGCACTGCAAGACACAGAAAAGGGGGTATGAACATAAAAGCAAGGTGGGAAGTTAACACACAGGAGCCACAGGAACTGTAACAAACAGGGGCACAAGAAAGAGCAAAAAGGGAAAGGCCAACCGAGAGGTTACTGGGTACACTGGAGTGTCACAGGAAGCACGAGGATACAGGGAAGCAAGGGGAACAAAGCCAACACAGGAATCCAGAACAGTACTAAAGCACAGGGGACCACAGCACAGGAGAGATGGGAAGCCAGATTATAATGACCACCCCATCAGTACTTCGTTGGGCCACGAGATGACTCCAAGAGATGACTTCGTTGGGCCGCCTCGTGACTCCACGAGATGTTGAAATGTGATGCGAGGAATCTGACACTGCACTGTTGCCCTTCTGTTGTCTTGTACCAGTCTTGCCATTCTCCGTTCTGCCCTAACATTGACTAGTCGCTGACGGCCACAATTCGCACGTTCAGACCCAGATTTTCGTCTTGACAGTCCAGTCTTTAAACACTTTAACAATGAGCCCCTCTTGAACATTTAACGAATTCTGCTGTTTTGCTGACACTCGCTCCATGGCTCCGAGCGCCAACAATCATCCCACGTTTAAAGGCTGTTAAATCGCATTGTTTACCCATATCTTCAGAAACAAATCACTTCTACTGTCGTGGTAAACAACCTGCTTCCCTATTTATAATGGTCTGGCCCGAAATTATAGCTAATTTGCCTACAAACGTCAGGTGGTCATAATAATCTGGCCACTCAGTGTACAATGCAATTTTGAAACTCCTTTCTATGTAAAAAAAACTATTTTTGAAGTGTATCCAAAGACTAAACTTTTTGTTATTTTGGATCGAGTCATCCCTCTATTTGTTCTGGTTACCATTGTCACCAGGACCATTGTCACCAGCAGAAAGTTAGGAAAAATCCATACATTTTTTTTTTTTAGTTGTCACCAGAACAAGAAATCAGAGGAGATCTTTTAATGGGGCACTTGTTGTGGTAACAAAAAAAGGTATTTCCCTGTATCTACACTGGGAAGGAAAATATCTCCAATGGGGCACAAAAGATTTAAAAAAAAAGATTTAAGACTTAAGACATGTTTAAAGCACAACAGTACCATTTAGTACAGTTATCCGTTAATATCCATTAATAAGTTCTGCCCACCAGGCAAATACTTACCTTCCTCATCAATTCTACTGTCTACGTTGTGCAGCCCTGTCCAGCTCTACAGTTTCCCAGGGAAAATATCCTCTTCTTAGTGTGCATGTGAGTAGCAGTCCCATCCATTCCTATGGGTGAACCGTACTCTGCTAGACCCAGAGCTGCCCAGCTCGGCACAGTTTCCCAGGGAAAATATCCTCTTCTTAGTGTGCATGTGAGTAGCAGTCCCATCCATTCCTATGGGTGAACCGTACTCTGCTAGACCCAGAGCTGCCCAGCTCGGCACAGTTTCCCAGGGAAAATATCCTCTTCTTAGTGTGCATGTGAGTAGCAGTCCCATCCATTCCTATGGGTGAACCGTACTCTGCTAGACCCAGAGCTGCCCAGCTCGGCACAGTTTCCCAGGGAAAATATCCTCTTCTTAGTGTGCATGTGAGTAGCAGTCCCATCCATTCCTATGGGTGAACCGTACTCTGCTAGACCCAGAGCTGCCCAGCTCGGCACAGTTTCCCAGGGAAAATATCCTCTTCTTAGTGTGCATGTGAGTAGCAGTCCCATCCATTCCTATGGGTGAACCGTACTCTGCTAGACCCAGAGCTGCCCAGCTCGGCACAGTTTCCCAGGGAAAATATCCTCTTCTTAGTGTGCATGTGAGTAGCAGTCCCATCCATTCCTATGGGTGAACCGTACTCTGCTAGACCCAGAGCTGCCCAGCTCGGCACAGTTTCCCAGGGAAAATATCCTCTTCTTAGTGTGCATGTGAGTAGCAGTCCCATCCATTCCTATGGGTGAACCGTACTCTGCTAGACCCAGAGCTGCCCAGCTCGGCACAGTTTCCCAGGGAAAATATCCTCTTCTTAGTGTGCATGTGAGTAGCAGTCCCATCCATTCCTATGGGTGAACCGTACTCTGCTAGACCCAGAGCTGCCCAGCTCGGCACAGTTTCCCAGGGAAAATATCCTCTTCTTAGTGTGCATGTGAGTAGCAGTCCCATCCATTCCTATGGGTGAACCGTACTCTGCTAGACCCAGAGCTGCCCAGCTCGGCACAGTTTCCCAGAGAAAACATCTTAGTGTGGTTTACCTTTTAGGAATGAATTGTGCGGCAAATGGGAAGACCCAGTGGGGACACTTTCAATAGAAAGGTAGTGTGGCACCAGGTTTAAATAGTGTAGCCAACCTGGACTGGAGTAGATAAACATAAACATTTTCAGGGTGATAGGTCCTGTACTGGACATTTTTCTTTCTTACCATTGCAAGTAAAAAGTGGCAATAGTTGATATTTCTAGATCTCTATTTAACCCGATATCCTTCTTTACCATTTGACCAAGTGCCTTGTTTTTTAAAGGCCGTTCAATGCACATGATGGTGTTTAGCGTGCAGCAAATTTATAGTGGATAATCAGATTTAATATTGTTCAGTCATACCAGTAAAAGTGAAAGGGTTGACATGCTTTATAGCATATTGCACGTTGCTTTATTGAATACAATTGTGTATATAACAAAGTGTGCCCTTTCCCCTTGTAACATATGTGTTAATTAGACCTAACATAACAACTTAGCACATTTTCTTGTTATGTGCCGTAACACATCGTAGTCTGCGGTACAGTGTTCAACATTTTAGGCTGACTCTAATCATGCAAATTAGGCAAATTGAAATCAGTTTAACTCTTGGTCCTTAAAATTGTGGCATTTCCCTTGCACCGCTAATTGACAATAAATATATGCTAGATCTCCTCCAAGTACCTAGTGACACAGTTGACCAGGTGTGCTGGAAAAAGCTGCTGTGTGTGTGTGTGTGTGTGTGTGTGTGTGTGTGTGTGGTGCTCTGCAATCATTAGCGTGCAGTAAAGTATCAACTCTGTATGTACTGCATAGATCTACAGATCACTTTACACATAGATAACATTAGAGTGGTAGGGATGTGGGGGAGTCGAGAAAAAAAGAATAGCTAGCTGGTTAATGACTACTGACATAATTAGGTGTGCATTACTGAAGTCATAAAATGTAACTATACATCTCATGATTGTTCCACACTTTACAGGACACTAACCTGAATTTAAAAGGCAAGGGCAAAAAAGGTCCTTTATTCGCAATACTATACGTTTTAGAGGATTATGGTATTGTTTAATTAAATTGTAATTCTTGCTGACACAGGGCCAATGGGGCAATTGGCTTGACTAAAATAATTTTATGGTCATTAGAGGAAATGCTGAAAAAATCTCGCCGCATAAAATTCTTTTTTTTATACCTTTTTGTAGGTATTCATTCAGATCCGATTCTATGGCAGAGC